TTTGACCTGAATGCTAAATAGCTCTATTATTTTCCAAGAACCTTGTTTTTACTCATTTTTACAGGTCAGCAGCTAACTAATCAGTCACCTTTCTGAAAATTAATCCTATTTAGCTAAAGAATTGTTGGCTTAGCTCTATATTATAGAGGTGTTTTATAAGAGACTCAGCTTCAGTTTATTAGAGCAAATGATAATTCTCTACTCTCCTTTAAATGCACAGAACACCAGTTAGATATCAGTCATCTGCACATAATTTGACCCATCTCTATTTTTCTTAATTCACTTGTCCATCATTAGGACATCAATAGCCAAATAGTATCTTAGTTACAACTCATCCCCATTGTTTTTAAATTGACATTTTAGCTGATGCCTACAAAGAAACCATTTCAAACTGATAGGTAAGCTCTTCCATGCTCAACTATATTTGGATTTGAAATTATAACATAGTTCCTCAAAGTTTCCAGCAAGGAACCAATCTGTACGTTAATTAGGCAGCTATGTAGCATTTTGTTTTTAGCCTACAGTGCATTCTCATTTCGGAAAATGTATAACAGAGTTATAAACATAAAAGTATATATCTATGGAGATTCTCAATCATCCAGATCATGGCTATCCCAAAAGTGCTTTTCAAAAGGTAACTGGACTTTCTGGAACTGAAGAAGCTTCTTGAATGAAAAGAAAAACATTTTCAAGAAAAAAATCATGAAAGTCCAGTTGCCTTTTGAAAAACACCTTTGGGTCAAAAATATATGTATATGACACTGTCCACTGTCAGACTTGGTTTAATGTCCAGGTTCCGATAGACAAGACCAAATAAATCAGAACTCCGAGGCCTGAGATTTCCTCAAAGAACACGTTTATTGATTACATGGTATCAGCATGGTAAAAAGTGAAACCAAGTCTGAAATCCTCTTCAAAGAGAGACAGTATTACAAAGTTGAACTTCCCACTCCATTGCTATGCAATCAGCTATGTTTCCCAATAGAACAGTTTGGCAGGCTTTCTAACCAAATGCTCACACCCCCTATCTAACAGACAGAAATGACCTTGGTTCCTATGGGACAGTAAAAAGTTTAGACTCGTAAAAATCCTCCACACACCCTTCCATTCTTGTGACAACCTAGAACGAGCAAAATGGCTGCAGCCAGGCTCAGTGTAGAGTTGACAAACACAATATCAACATGAAGTATTATAGTGATATAAGACAAAGAACATGAACATGAACTCCAAAGAAGTAGATAAGTTGCCTGTCAATCAGAATTGTCCTGACTCGGTAGAATTTTCAGTTTTTGAATAGATGATGGTTAGAACTTACTGCCTTTCTGTGGCAGTATCAATGCTTTACAATGGCCAACTGGTGAAAATTAGGCAGTCCCCCTCCTTGTTGACCCTTAGGAAGAAAACAAAGCAATTTTGGAAGATATTCTTCCAATTTAATAGCTTAGCCATCTTTATTTTTGTTTTCTCATTTATATTGTTTTTATCTGATGTTACATTTTAATGATACTATGGGTATTTTAAATGTTTGTTATATTTTATACCAATAGAAACCACTAAAAGTCATTGAATTGCAGAGAGATATAAACCAGATGGATGGATGGATGGATGGATGGATGGATGGATGGGAGGGAGGGAGAGAGGGAGGAATAAACACTTTGGTCCGTTTTACTTTCTTTCATATTTACATTTTGTCAACTCTTTATTAGACTCTAATTGGAAACAAGCCAACCCATTCTTAACCCACAATGGTCAACAAGTTGTGTTTAGGGACAATCAAACTTATAGATACTTCAAGCATCAACCTAGCTTTATTACAGACAGATTGGCCAAAGTATTTTCATTTTTGTTGACAAACAAATACGTGAGTACATTATATATTAGGATGCCTTATTTCAGATCAATATTTATCTCAGGCTGTTTTTATATGCTGACTAGCAATGGCTCTCCAAGATCTTGCATAGAAATTCTTCTCTTTGTAACCTCATCCTTTTTATGGACATATCAAAGGTTGATAATATATTATAACTACAAAACCTTGCTTTACCATAAAGCTATGGTTTCTTCAGTAGGAGTGTCATCTGTTTTTCTGCTGGTTACTAATGGTTTATTTCTGATCTGAATAGCATAATATTTTTAGTGTTCTATCATTCCTTCAGAGCAGCCAAATATACGGCCTGAAAAACATGTTTTGTGGCAATTTAAAACAACACATTCCATAAGTTTCCAAACGACTTCAATGAGATAGCCAGCTGCTTGCATCTTAAGTATTTTCCAACCAACCAACCAGTTAATGTTTTCAGGCATTTTAGTTCAAGGCATCAAACCTGCCAAATTTTAAGCAGATTGAAAAAAAATGTATTTATTTTATATCTGTCATTTTCATTGTTTGTACTTATTACTCTTCCTTGTAGCCTTCCTTTGACCTATTCAGATTGTTCCAAGTTTTGATTTTATTTTAATCTCAAAGGAAAATAATTAAAAATAAATCAAGAAAAAATGTATAAATAATGAATGGATTTTCATTAAGAATCCATTTGTCTAAATTCTTTTCTTGCTTTTCTTTCATCAGAATGGATGTACATCCCTCTGGTACATCACAAAATATATTTACATGTTTGGGCACAAAAATGTTTAAGAGCTGTTCTCTTTTATTATGCTAGTAACTGAATAATGCTGAATCTTTTATAGACAAAATTCCTTTGTAGCATGAAGTGTCCTTTCTAATTGTAAATATATTTACTTGTAAAACAACTAAGTACAAAGGTCATTTTTCCTAATTACAAGGTAGGAGGAGTTTTCTGTAGTATTTTTTTTTTAACCAGGACCATTGATTCAGCATATAAATAACGATACTAGATTTTGGATTTTCACATTCCTCTGGTTTAAAATCTTTAAATTGTTCTTTATTTTATCAATCAGGCATAATTTCTTAGTGGATCAAATGAGACAACAGGGTGAAAATTTTGGGGGAAAGAAGTAGCCTAATGCTGAAGGCAAGGAACAAATCCAGGGCCTTATAAAGCCAATTATTTCATTGATAATTTTTATTAAGACTTGAAGAACCTCCATCCTATTTAATTGTTTTCAATTTTCTTTCAGTATTAATAGTCCAAATATACCTTGAGAAAATTTTATCACTTCAAAAGGCATTTTTATTTTTATTTATTTGTTTATTTATTTGTTTATCTATTTATTAAATGTATATGCTACTCTTCTCACTCTGAAAAGTATCTCTGAGACACATTTGTAACTCAAATGATTTTAGCAGACAATCCTCTCTATCCTTTTGCACAGTGTCCAAGATAATCTGCTGAAAACAGTATATCATGAAAATTCATATGCTGCAATTAACTGAGATAATGTATCCCACACAAGGGACTGACTTTTTTAGTTTTATTTAACAAGGACAATACAAGTGTTAGAATATAAAATGTAACATTTGCTGCACATGAATTATTCAGAAGCAGTTATAACTTGTAATAACAATTAAAAATAATTAAAATACGCCCATCAGCTGGAATACATTGAAAAACACTACCTAAAAAAGGAAACAAACCATTATTATCTCAATGAAAAGGCTTTGGGATACAAACTATATACTGTACAGTAATATGCTGGGGGACAGTTCAAGTATTTTGGCCCAGTAAGTGATAGTTTGCCAATTTTCCAAATTGAAGCCTACTCCATTTCTTTAATCAGTTGCTGCATTAAGACGATTCTATTCCCGTGGACTCTTACTTAACACAGGGTGATTCCAGGTCTCTTCTCTATGTTCAGTAATAAGTTTTCATCTTTTTTGAAATGAACAAACTGGAGATGTAAGGGGAAATTTGAACAGTCCTTTAGTCTCCATGGCTAAAAGATATCTTACAGATTCTAACTTTCTTTCTCTTTAATATTAATATTCATTTTGAGCATTAATTAAGCTCTTTTGTTTGATATCATTTCACTGAATAGATTTAATGCCTGTGGCAGTGCCTCATCCAAAATAAATTTTGATCATATCTCACTTTCTCCTAATGATGTCAAAGAAAGACGTATTTTCAATATTAATGGAGATGTGTCAGTGGACTCCTTCACGCAGAAGGCAGTGAGGCAAGATGGTTTGAACTGAAACCTGTTTCCAGACAAGTTTTGAACACAGTATGTGAAATACAGAGCAAGAAAGATGATTAGGCGACTGGAGGCTAAAACATATAAGGAACAGTTGCTGGAATTGGTTATGTCTAGTTTAATGAAGAGAAGGATGAGGGGGGACATGATAGCAGTGTTCCAATATCTCAGGGGTTGCCACAAAGAAGAGGGAGTCAAACTATTCTCCAAAGCACCTGAAGGCAGGACAAGAAGCAATGGATGGAAACTAATCAAAGAGAGAAGCAATTAGAACTAAGGAGAAATTTCCTGACAGTTAGAACAATTAACCAGTGGATTAACCTGCCTCCAAAATCTGTGAATGCTCCAACACTGGAAGTTTTTAAGAAAGGACTGGACAGCCATTTGTCTGAAATGGTATAGGGGTTCCTGCCTTGAGCAGGGGGATGGACTAGATGACCTCCAAAGTCCCTTCCAACTTTATTATTATTATATTTTATTTGCTAAACTTATATATTAGGAAATGTTTGTTATGTTGGGTTGGGAAAGTATTTGCCCACTTTTTTTCTGAATTGAAAATGGGACAACAATTGCCAAGTGAACTTCTGATTAATGCTCATGAATATTTGTGTGTTTGTTTTATCTATTGTTTATTATAGAGCATGGCTGTTTTTAAATATGAGAACCTCTTACATTGAAGCGTATGGTGAATACTTGCCCAAATCTAACATTCCAGAAGTTGAAGTTATTATGGAGTTGGTCTTTTATTCTGCCTGGAAGCACACTTTTTTCTCTTTCTCTGAATAAACACACGGAAAAGATACCAAATGTTGCCAAGAAGCTGTTGATCTTCTACAACACAACAGAGTTTGTGGCATGCTTGAATATTAGCAAAACTATTTTCTTACCTTTTCAGTTTGGCAGCCACCTCCCCCTTCCTAAGATCAGTTCAATATATATCCTGTAAGAGAGAAGTTTGTTTAGAAAATAAGTAATGGATCCCTGATATGACTATCTCCACCTAGATTGCTTGGAGGAGATAGTCATCTCAGGGACTTACATTGTTACAAACAAAGATTAATGTGATTAGTTTGGTTAGGAGATGTAACTCCTGTCACAGCCTTCTGAGATTTTACTCACTGACTGCTAATTTATTAGTACAATAATTCAAGATTTCAGAATTTAAGGTTTTTAGGATCGAGTTGAAATCTTCATTGTGTAGCTTACCAAAACTTTTAATTTGTCTACTATACCCTTGTGTTGATTATTGCAGTCTGATCAAATATAGGCGTCACAGTTCTGTTATTAAAAGCCATTGTTTAGCCACAAGATCTTTTTATATTTCTTGTAAAGTAGATTGTTTTGTCTCTTTTAAAATATTTTACCTAGTTCTTCAGTTTGCTTCTCGGAGAATTGAGTACCCTTGTATGGTACATTATTATAATATGAATCATCATCCCCAAGATATTCCTGGTTTAAGGAAAATGGGAGAAAATGCAAATCATCATTCATTTTGGAGAAAGGTTCTTGCTGCAATATCCTGAATCTATTAGCAGAATTCAAAAACACATGAATCACTTAAGTCATTAGGTTACTCACTTGTTCCTTTGTTAGTGGTGGATCTTCAATTTTTAATTTTTTAGAGTTAATGCAAAGAACCAGTAATGGTCCCATGTTTCTTTTTCTTCCCCATGTTATAAGGCTGTTAGTATGTATTCACATATCAAATACCACAGTATCAGAGAATAATAATAATACTTTTTTTAAAAAAATCCTTCTCTTAAGTAAGAAACATAGCCATGATGAGAGCAATACCCAAACCAATAGAAGAGGAAGAACTGAAAAAGTTACATAGCTGGGAAATAATAATAATAATAATAATAATAATAATAATAATAATAATAATAATAATAATAATAATAATAATAATAATAATGTTGGAAGGGACTTGGAGGTCATCTAGTCCAACCCCCTGTTCAGGCAGGAAACCCTATACCATTTCGGAAAAATGGCTGTCCGGTCTCTTCTTAAAAACTTCCATTGTTGGAGCATACACCGCTTCTGGAGGCAGGTTGTTCCACTGGTTAATTGTTCTAACTGTCAGGAAGTTTCTCCTTAGTTCTAGGTTGCTTCTCTCTTTGGTTAGTTTCCATCCGTTGCTTCTTGTCCTGCCTTCAGATGCTTTGGAGAACAGCTTGACTCCCTCTTCTTTGTGGCAGCCCTTGAGATATTGGAACACTGCTATCATGTCCCCCCTCGTCCTTCTCTTCATTAAACTAGACATACCCAATTCCAGCAACTGTTCCTCATATGTTTTAGCCTCCAGGAACGGAGGCTGAAATGAAATGTCTGCTGAAAACAATTAAGCTTAGAGAACACTAAGGACTCCACTAATATGCAAACCATAATTACAGAGGTAAAATGTCTGGCTGCTGCCATGTTGTAGTGCAAAAAAAAAAAAAAAAAAAAAAAATTTGCAAAGAGCAAACCTCCTTATATTGTTAACTGCAAACCTGATTTGAGCATTTACTTTCAAACCAGAATTAGGCTTTTGCGAAGTTTCTACTCTCACCACCCCAAACATATTTTTCTTTGATTTCTCTTCTGAAAAACTGGCCTTCTTGTAAAGACATTGGACAACTGTAATGAAAGCTTTACGTCTGGCCACTAAAGTGTGCAGAGCAGGTCTGTTCAACATGTGATCTACAGATCCAATTCAACCTTGAAGCATAGGTTGGCCTATTAAGACCACAATGAACTTCCTGCTTTTGCAGCTATTCTAGATAGGTTCCAATACAAGAAAAAGCTTTAAGGTCACCTGATTTTAAATTAATCTCCTGATGTTGTAAGATTTGGGACAAAGGCAGTGTTCTATTGACAATAGAATTTCTGATAAGGAATAAATGGTAATATATGTAAGAGTAAAATTTCAGAATTCAAATTATAAAATCAAAAACATAAATTAAAATTATATGCTGATGACCATTCACATTCACCCAAAGGATTTCTTAGAACTGGCAATGGAACATAGATAATACCATATAATATCAGGATATTGGTTTGACAAGAATAAGCCAGATGATTTATGGAATTTATCTAAAGAGGAAAAACAGCAGTTGAGATAAATAGCAGGGTTTAATATTTGTCTTAAAAGATTGCAGACTTTGCCTAACCAGAAACAATAAAGACTTAAGCAATAATAATCAATTATATATCTGATAAACAAGATAATGCATATTTTAAAATGCAGAAACCTAAATCTATCTAGGCTAGAAGAAAAATTAGCAGGAAAAATCTGTTGTTCGTCCATCGATTTCGATGAAGACCTTGACATCTTCTGGGTTATGGGCCATCAACAATGTGACCGTAGGTGGCTAATAAGACCGATGTTAGCACGGAATGTTCTGCCACATACTGAACAAAGAAATGTAGACACTGTTAATTCAGCATTTGCAGCTCTGGCTTTGCGGAGTGTTCGCTTTTCTTGTGCCAAGATTGTCCTTCTGTGTTCATATGTCTGGCAACCCTGGTACTCCAAGGTGCGCCATGTCGGTCAATCATGCACCAGAAGTTCCCAAGAGATGGTGTTAATATCCAGGGACTTAAGAGAAGCTTTTTACGTGTCTTTGTATCGCTTCTTTTGTCCCCCGTGCAATCGCTTTCCTTGAGACAGCTCACCATAGAAGAGCTGTTTAGGGATGCAATGATCTGGCATCCTTACAACATGGCCTGCCCAGCGCATCTGGGCTTTCATCAACAGAGTGTAAACTGATGATAGGCCTGCTCTGGAGAGGACATCTGTGTCTGGTATCTTATCCTGCCACCGGATCCTCAAAATTCTACGAAGGCAAGTCATGTGGAAGTAGTTCAGTTGCCTAACATGCCTCCTGTACACTGTCCAGGTCTCACTAGCATACAATAGGGTAGTTAGCACTGCTGCCTGGTAAACTTTAAGCTTGGTAGCAAGATTTATTCCACGGCGGTCCCACATGTAAGTCTGCAATCTGCCAAATGCAGAACTTGCTTTGGCAATTCTACAGTTGACCTCGATGTCAATTGTCACTGCACAGGAGAGAGTACTACCAAGATACGTAAATTGGTCCACTGCTTGCAGCTTTTGTCCCTTTACTGTGATGGTAGGCTCTTGATATTGGGCTTTTGGAGCTGGCTGGTACATCATTTCAGTTTTCTTCGTGTTGATGAAGAGGCCAAAGTTGTCACAAGCAGCTGCGAATTTGTCCATGCTGGCTTGCATTTCCTGCTCTGATCCTGCATTGAGGGCACAGTCATCAGCAAAGAGGAGATCTCGTAGCACAGTCTCCTTTACCTTGGTGACAGCCTGAAGTCTTCGCAGGTTGAACAGTTTCCCATCGGTTCTGTATCTCTGTACTGAGCTGTTCTGAAAGGTGTCTGACAGCATGGCTGAGAACATCATGCTGAACAGGGTTGGTGCCAGCATGCAGCCTTGCTTAACGCCATTAGTAACAGGGAAGGCCTCTGAGGCTCCACCATTACTCAGAACACGAGCCGCCATGCCATCATGGAACTGTCGTACCATCAGAATAAACCTGTCAGGGCACCCAAACTTCGACATAATGCGCCACAGTCCTTCATGACTAACTGTGTCAAAAGCCTTGGTGAGATCCACGAAGGTGGTGTATAGTTCACGATTCTGCTCCTAACATTTCTCCTGGAGCTGTCGAGCTGCAAATATGTACACTGTGCATATTTGCTCTTTGCGGAAACCACACTGTGTCTCAGGTAGTATACCCTGTTCCAGATGGTCAATCAAGCAATTTAGCAACACTCGTGCAAAGATCTTGCCTGCAACAGAGAGAAGTGATATTCCTCTATAATTATTGCAGACTTGTCGATTTCCTTTCCTCTTGTAGAGGTGCACAATGGACGCGTCTTTCAGTTGCTGAGGAATGGAACCTTGTTTCCAGAAAGATCGAAACAACTGGGTAAGTTTTTCAACAAGCACAGCACCGCCAGCCTTATAGACTTCCGCTGGGATTGCGTCAGATCCTGGTGCCTTACCACTGGAACATTGATTGATGGCCTGTGAGGTTTCAGCCTCTGATGGTAGGGCATCAAGGCTATAGTTCATATCTACCTGGGGTATCCTGTCAATCGCCTCATTATTGATGGTGGATGGGTGATTCAGCACAGAGTGGAAATGCTCGGCCCAGCGCTGTAAAATCAGGGTCTTCTCAGTGATAAGAGTTGCACCACTCGAATCCAGTAAAGGAGAGATTCCTAAGGGCTGAGGTCCATACAGGGATCTAAGGGCTTCATAGAATCGTTTGGCATCGTTTCTATCAGCAAACTTCTGGATTTCATCTGCTTTGGCACTCAGCCAGGAGTCCTGCATCTTGCGGAGCTTGCTCTGTACAATCCTGCGAGTGTTTATAAAAGCATTTTTCTTTGCAGTTGACAACGGGTCGTTCTGATGAGTGTGGTAAAGATGGTGTTTTTCGGCAAGCAAGGCCTTAATCTCTTCATCATTTTCATCAAACCAGTCCTGCTGCTTCCTATATGAGGGTCCAAGAACCTTAAGTGTAGAAGAGTGCAAGATGTCCCGGAAACATTCCCAGTCCTTCTCAGCATTTTCCTGTATTTGCAGCTCCAGGAGTTGATTGTCAAGGTCTTTTACTAATGAAGCTACTATGTCGGGGTTTTCCAGTGTACTGACATTGATCTTTTTCATCACAACTCTGTTTCCCTGTGGATGATTCTTTGGCTTGATGTGAATATTTAACTTGGAAATGATGAGTCTATGGTCAGTCCAGCAGTCAGCACTCGGCATAGCTTTAGTTACTCTTACATCTTGCATGTCTTTTCTCCACACAATATCAATGAGATGCCAGTGTCTGGAGCGTGGATGCATCCAGGACGTCTTTTTACGAGTGGGTAGGCGAAAGATGGTATTAGTAATGACCAGATCATGAGCAGCACATG